GCGGCTGTGGTGCTCTCTGTTGTGTGTGGGTGTGGGTATGTGACTGTGTGTGTCTGCATTGTCTGTTGTGGGTGTGTGACTGTGGTGCTCTCTGTTGTGTGTGGGTGGGGTATGTGACTGTGTGTGTCTGCGTCGTCTGTGTTGTGTGTGTGTGTGGCTGCAGTACGCTCTGCTCCACTGCTCTAGTTTCAGTGTGGGTGCCCATGAACATCTCTGTGTGCTGCTCCCTCGTCCGGTCACAGCCTTGCCCTCTCTTCCAGTGGTCTACCATCATGGGAACAGTGCGACAGGTGGCCATTACACAACGGACGTCTTCCAGATTGGCCTGAATGGCTGGCTCCGCATTGACGACCAGACAGTCAAGGTGATCACCCAGTACCAGGTGGTGAAGCCGACGGCCGAGCGTACAGCCTACCTCCTGTACTACCGCCGTGTGGACCTGCTGTAGCCCGGGGCTGTGCACCCGACACCCGCTTTGCAGAACACTGAGTTCCACCACTTCCTCCCTCTGTAGTGGCTCTCTAGAGAGAAACTTCTCCCTTTTGCAAACATGGGCTAGGATGGAAGGAGACTCAGAGGTTTATCGCACACAGTGTCTGTTGACTTCTAACTGCAAACCCAAATCATTTGGTTGAAAACAGACCATCAGTTGATTTTTAAAAGCAAGACAGAAAACCCCCATTTCCGAGATAACGGTGATTCCTGAAACCAGGAGGGGCTTGTGTGTGATCACGGGCCGATCGCTTAGGAGAGGGAACCCTGCACCAGCAACGGCACCTGTAAATTTGTGCAAAGGAATTTTATCTTTCCTTAAAAAGAGACTTTTTAAGCCATCACGCTTTCCTCCCCCACCTTTAGTTTTTGATGAATGATAAAAGTAAGCCAGTTACCAGAGGAGAAGTAGTTCTTTCTTCGAAAATAAACACAGAATAAGTTGCTGGCTCCTAACAGGAAACTGCATTTTAATAATTGTGCGGCGAGAGACGCTTACATACGCACGGTGGGTGAGATGTCTGGAGTTAAGGTATTAGTCTACAGACATGGGTGATTGTAACTTTATTGCCATTAAAAGATTTCAAATTGCATTCACGCTTCTGTGTACACGTAATGGGTAATGGACGACGGGCAACGTAATGAAGATTAACATTCCCTCCAGTCTGCTCTGTGATTCCGCTCTCCGCCTACCATGATGCTGCGTCTGTAATTGTACACAGTTTAGTGACATCTAGGAGTATAAAGCGATCACCTATCAATAAACATCACAAAGTTGGTTTAAAGCACGCGTGTTTCTTTCAGCATAAATGCCTTTCTCGGGAGCGGAATCCATGGCTCTGGTTGTGCCTGCCCCCGCGTGGAAGCACATGGCCCTGCCAGCTGTTCAATGTGTGTGAAATAGAAACACGCCCAGCACACATTGGTCAGTGTCTGCACAGTTCCCGACTGACCAGAGATCTTGAGTGAGCAGCACGCAGGCAGACCCTCCCTCGCTGTTTCCCTTCCCTGGCGCTTCTCACGTCACTGGAGTTGTGGGGTTAGGTCCCAGCTGAGCAGCCTTTTGGTTGACTGCCTCCAGGCAGCCCGGCAGTGCCCGGGATGCCACCTCAAGTGGCGGGGGACATCCTTCCCAGACTGCAGGAAGGGGGAGCTGGGCCCTCTAGGGCCGTATCCTAGGCTCACCTGCTGGGACACGCAGGCGGCTCTGTGCTCCCAGCACTTTCCTCAGTCACTCCTCTTACCACCTCTTGTGCCACTCGGGTTTGGAGAGTTTTGTGGTGAAAATATGTACAACAGAACGTACAGTTTGTGTGTGTGCAGTCCGGTAACTTGGTTACAGTCTTCAAGCTGTGCAACAATCTCACTGTGTTTTTTTTTAATTACCCCACCGCCGTTAACAAAGTCGGTGCCCCCAAGCAGAAACTCTCTCCCAGCCCTGGCAGCCATCCGTGATCTTCGGCTTCTCTGTGTGCTTCTCTCGTGTGAGTGAGATCATACAGGATTTGTCCTTTTGCCACTGACTGGTTCCACTCAGCATGTTTGTGAGGTTCGCCCATACTGTGGCGTGCTTCAGGACTTCCGTCTCTTCATGGCTAAGCAGTATTCCACTGTGTGGATGGACCATGCGTCGTCTCTGCCGTCTGCTGGACGTGTCGGTTGGTTCCACTGTTGGTGACTGAAATGTGCCGCAGGGGATGGTGGTGCGTTCCTGCCTTGACTTCTGGGTGTGTGCCTGGGACCGGGATGGTGGCTGGGTCACCTGACAGCTCCCTGTTCCTGTCTTTCAGGAACGTTGTCCTCCCGGTCTGTGGTAGCTTCATCTTGTGAAGATGTTCCCAAAGAAGAGGAAACGGAGCGTGCTCCTGGGCCCCCTTGCCTGACCTTCCTCTTTCCTAACCCGCCCTCCTCATCAGAGAGGTTTTGTCATGTGCGGTTTCATGGTCTGAGGCGTGCGTCCCATCGATTGCCATGATGATTTGGGGTATTTGCTGAGCACGGTCGTGTTGAGTCTTTCCCTGGGGTCGGTTGGCGGCAGGCCATCTTTCCAGTCATCGTATCTGCCCTGAAGGAAGCGTGCAGGTCCCTGCTGAGGTCCTCTGCTTTCAGTCTTGAGCCAGCGAGCTCCAGGATCCCCGCTGAGTGATGGGACATGAAATACTTGCATTGACAATAGCTTAGATGAGCCTCATGTTCTCCAAGGCTCCCTCCACGTGCTTGCTCTTTATCTTACCATTTTTCAGGGAAGTGTCTGTTACTCATCGGGCTTTTGACAAGCTGTTTCCTCCCAGGACAATGTAAACCCTGCTTGTGCATCGCAGGAGGGGTGGGTGCAGGCTGCAGGGAAGACTTGCGTTACTGCTGGCACGTTCAGGGGCTGGGGTTGCCTGAGCCCTTTGTTTCCTTTTGTTTCTTTAATCAATTAAAAGTTCTTTTAAAATTTGTTCGACACATACCTTTTTCTTTGTTTGACTTTCTTTGTGATTTGGGTGAGTTTTCAGAGCAGATTCCTTTCCCATCCAACAATTGGTACACGTTTTGTTTCATGACACTGATTGCAATCCCACCCATCCTACTTCCTCCCTCTGAGGTTACCTTTTCCCATGTCCTTCTCTCCTGTGTTCCTGCCCTCTGATCTTTCTGCCCGAGCAAGTACTGCCCGTCTGATTTCCCATCGTTGACTGGTGTAAGGAGTGCACCTCCCTCCTAGGCCTGTCGTTTAGCTGAAAGTTAAGTCACGGGAGTGAGTTCAGTTCCAGGCCTGACGGGTGACTGGGGGCTAGAGGCTCAGGGCTTTCCCACTCTCTATCAGACCAATCAGCCTGGTCTTTTTTGTATTTTGTCTTTTTTGTATTTTTGAGCTTTGTCCCATGTTTATCTCCTCTCTCCGGGATCTCCAATTTTGATCCCTTCCCAAGTGCTTGGTGTTGGTAGCTGGGCACCATGTAGTTCTGGTCTCAGGGTCTGGAGGCTGAGGTTCTCATGGCCTAGTTGATTCCATGCATCTTTGATTGTCTTCACTCATCTTTGGTCCAGACCAGGAGAGATCAATATTTGCATCTTAGATGGCCCCTCACAAGCTTTTAAGACTCTAGTTGCTATTCAGCAAAGCAGGATGTAGAACAATGTTTTTGTGTCCTAGGTATGCCAGTTGAGCTTGATGTCCCCTCGGACCATGGTCCCAAGCCCATGGGCCCAGTGACTCACTCCCCAAGATGTTTGGTTGAGCTAAGAAGTTATAACTTTGCCTCCTGTTCACTCTGTTACATACATGGACATTTTTGTAGCATAAACAAATACATATGTGGAAGGATTGTCTGCCAGACCTGTGCGTGGCTGCAGGTGTATTCCCTTTTGCCCACCCATACCTGATGCTCTTGTCTGTTGTTGGTTTTGTTACTGCTGATCATGCAGGATTGTGTAATAGCATACACCTTTGCTATCTATAACTCTTGTGCACCTCTCTGTGTCTCCCTTTTCCTTGGTGGTGGTGTGCTGGTCACCCATTTTTGGTATATTGCCTTTCGCTGCACCTGTATCAATATGTAGACACGCATCTTGGTGCATGGTGCAGGCATGTGTCACAGTTTTCAGAGTGGCACTCTGGGTCCTGGAGTTGGGCCTATCGGACCTAACCTTGGGCCTCCCACCTGCTTCAAAGAAAGCAGCTCTGTCTTTACATAGTTTGTCTGTAGATGTGGGGATTCACTGCATGATTTAAGGAAGACAGACCACCTGTCTTGTAAGATACAGATTTTCCCTCACCTGACTCCACTTTCGCTGCCTGCTGTCATCAGTCTGATTGGCCTCTGGACTCAGGCCCCCTGGCCCTGCCCAGCACCTCTGGTGCGCGTAACTATTTTTTGTTGCTTTAAAATAAGATGGGACCCGCTGGGCTGGGCTTGCTTTTCCTCTGCAGGGGCTTTCGTGCCTGCTGCAGTGACAGGAAGTTGTTTTTTTCTAAAGGTGTCCATTAGCTTTGTACCAAGTAGAGTTCCCAGCCTAGGGTGATGCACCCCAGACAGTCCCCAGTGTCCGACGGTGGGGTCTGTCCGTTCTGACAACCCTGTTAGTCTGTTCTGACTTTTCGTTATTATTATTATTATTATTTCATTATTATTGCCTTTTATTATCAGTATCTTTATAAATCTGATCTTTGAGCATCTGCAGATGAACATCTGAGAATAGGAACATCAGCAAATGGCATGCTGCAACATCGTGTGTGGTACGTGTTCTTAATGATAAGATGTAGCACAAAAAGACAGTCGTAGGTGCAGTTTGTCGTAACTGTGGCTCATCGCCCGTGAATGTGTTGTAAGTTGGGGACTGCTTGTACAGGAAAGCCCACATACATCCTGATTTCGGAGCCCTCCCCTCCCAAGCCCCAGTCTCTTTCAGTGTTTTGGTCTTGTTAGTTCTCATGGTGACAGTATATAGTATGAACCAAAGGAAAAGTCAGATCCAGTGAGAAAAGATTAGACTCTGTAAGTGGCTGGCTCGTCCCCTGCTTGGGCTGACCCTTCAGAGCCTTCCCGTCTCTTGGAGGAGTAGCCTCAGCAGATGTCCTCTCCACCTGATTTTCCCCGGAGCTGGATTCAATGAAGTTGGGTTTCAGCATTTGAACACCAGCTGGGAGGTAGATGGGGATGAACTGACCTTCAGAACTGACCTCCTGGCCCCCTGAGCGGTGACCCACTGGGGCCCTGAACACTGGCTGCTTGTTGACACCCTGGAGACGGGCTGGTGACCGACCCCCACGCGGGGCGGGCCAGGCTTGGCCTTTTCCCAGAGGTGATGGCCTCCCCGAAGTCAGCAGTGCCGACTTGTAAAACGGATGGGAGCCCTCGGTGCTTGGTGTGAGCTCTTCCTGTCAGGGGCGGTGCTTTGGAAAGGATGGTGGGAGAGACGAAGTGGCCACCGGGAGTCTGCTCGTTCATATGGTTCCTATTTGACTTG